GAGTAGTAGCATCTAGATAAAGGACTCATATTGAACATGGAGAAAACTAAAGTCAGTGCCGTCTTTTTCCTATTGGAGGCCCTGGACATATTAGGATAATGACCCCTATGACTTCCGTTTGGTGATTTAACAGGAACTAGGGATTTTGTATTAGATCTGAGGGGGCCCCCTATCGATCGCGGGGCCCTGGGCACTTGCCCAAAGTGCCTACTAGGAAAGATGGGTTTGACTAAAGTAATGCTCATCAAAGATCAGTACTTCCACTCAACTTGATTTTTGATGGGAGTAAAATTGAAGCGGTGGAAACATTTGTGTTGCTAGGTGTAAACATGGATTCCACCTTATCGTGAAAGCCTCATGTGCACGCGGTAGTGAATAAACTTAGCAGCTTTGCGTGCGTGCTACGTGAGCTGTGTAAATGTACTAACATATAGTGTGCTCTGACATCCCACCATGCCCATGCTGCATCTTTTATAAAATAAATAAATAAATATCAAAAAACTATTTCGAAAAAAAGGTCGATGATGTGCCTCGACGCCACGTATCACGGCGCGCCAATAATATATGTCGATACACACCACATCTACACTTATTTAAAAAGAAAAGCTTTTTACAGGGTTCTCCAAGTTTTCAACTACTTGCCGAATTCTATAAAAGCCCTCTAATGTCCTCGTGAATTTGACAAAAAAATATTTTTTTTTTCCAAAATAAGGCTTATTATAATTTGCACGAATATCTCGAGAAATTTATTTGATTAAGTATGTTTTGTAGACACTTAGTTTTGCAGGTCAGTGTATAATTTCTATGATTTTTTTTCCGTTAAAATTCCCAAATTGATGTTTGTTATAAACTTTTATATAAATCATTTTATTTGAAAATTGCTACACGCATTTACTTGCATAGAAGGTAATGCCGCTCTTAGTTACAAAAATAATAAATGGTGAGATTAGTACCCAAGTACGAAACCGAACACTTAAAGATTTGCCAACTTTATTGACTTCGTAGATATTTGTACTGCAAAATTTCAGGCAGTTGATGAACACACCAGTATTAAGTAACATTAAGTAGTTTTAAGCTTTGCAATTTAAATATTTCTATGGAAATATCCAAATAAATATATTTACTAGTAAATTTTATTATTGTTATTATTTCTTCACCAGATATTAACATTGTTAATTGCTCGCGTAGCTTGTATCCAATAATCATAACTAGACTTTGCCAGACACACCAGTTTAAACGTACGTCATTTTGCAATATAATGTTTAAGTGGAATCTTTTAATAAAACCTTCAGGTATTTACGATTTTTATAACGCTTTATTTTAGGAGTTGTAAAAGTTAAGGTGTTACTGTAAAGTGCTCATAAATAATTTCAATTGCATTTTCCTCATCCACATAATATATTGACGGTCGATTATTTCAAATACATATAATGTTGTAAAACAAAATGCCTAATGGAAATTACTTAGGCTTTTCCAATTCGATGAGTTTATAAAAAATATGAAGTATATATCTGGCTTTTTTTTATACCTGTGAAATAGTTTTAAATAAAGTTTTTAAAACCTAGATGTGTTTTTTCAATAACTAATATAGAGGAATTGATTCCAAAAAAATTTAAAACATATAAAGTAGGTAGTTCATTTTAGCTTTGACAAAAAAATCAAAAGTGGATTTCCTTGAAAAATGTTATGATGTACCAAAGTGGTAATAGATTTTTTATGTCAATCGTAAAATTTTGAATATTAAAAATGTTTTGGTGTAAAAGAATTAGATAGGTATATATAAAAAAAAAACAACCTCATCAAGGACTTGAAACCGGACGGCTTGTTACGGTGTTCTTCACGTCTTATTTTCATTTAGGGTGTATTTATTACTATTAAAATTTATATTACACTTCCAGACACATCTATCGGCCCAGATAATGTTATAAGTTTCAAAGATCTGTAGTAAAAATAAAATTAACTTAGGTTTAGCCATAATAATATACCTATTTTTAAAAACACTCGTCAAATTTGGTTTATAAATCAACTTTAAAACTGTGTAATTTTTTTTTCTCAATGTTACGTTCATCTATTTTTAGTTAGAGACCGTCAAAATCATATAGGTCAAAACTTTAAATGCTGGGTGGGCCGATATATGTGTCTGAACCCCTCAGGTCCGAGTGGTCTAGTGGCCCCAGACGGAGAGGAGACTCCCCCTGTGGGGAGATGTCATCCGCCTGGAATACCTATAGAAGCACTCGCCAATTCTCGGCTTGAGGTTCCATTAGGATCTCTCCTAATGGGAATTAGATCCTAATGGGACGGCCCGTCCCCAAACCCCTTGACTCTGTAAAGGTCACCTGAAACCAACAGCATACACACTCAAAAGAAAAAGCTGTGTCTGAGAGTATATTTTGTTATATAGCTATGTCTATATAAACAAGATAGAAGGCATAGCGAACGTCCGGTAAACTCAATTTTCCAGACGTTTACTATATTGGATAACTTGTTATCATGGTCATAAGCCCACCAAAGCCTAATGTGGCGTCATGACGTGTAGTCCCCGTGAAGTTGTTGAGGCAGGGATGTTGGCTTACTTTTTTTTTCTTTGTTTATTGCAAACTGTCACTAATGCATTGTATACTCACTAATCATTTGTTTTAATTAAGTTTCATCAAAAAATTGCAGATGGATAGGGCATAGCGGATTTTCCGCTCGATTGGAACGTCTGAGGATGTTACTTTATTCTATATAACTATTAACGGGATTGTTACCATGTACCTTGTTTTTTATGAGTCTCCGATATTTCGGCACCGTTGCAAGCGCCATGATCACGGAGTAACTGAAGTAATTGCGGGTAGATGTTATTGGCAGATATAATCATAATCAAAATTATTTATTCAGTTTAGGCTGTTACAAGCACATATGAATGTCTAGAAGCTACGCCATCGGTTCGTAAATCTACGGCGGGAGACCTTGTACTGAGAAGAACCGGCAAGAAACTCAGCAAGGCCTGTTTTTTTCTCCCTGCTTTGTCATTTACAGAGTCGTCAAGTTGAAAAATGGCTTCAGAGATGATTCATTAAGTCACCTTTCATTACATAATGTGAAATTATACATTAATTGTTCACCTGCATTTTGATTGCTGTGTCACACAGTATAAATACAAACAGAGTTATTTATAATAGGTGTAATTAAACACATATCGGTCTACCCTCTGACGTCGTCTTTTACTGCGTTCGATACCCCTTCCACTGGTCACATTCTCACTATTCACTCGCATTTGTTCCCGGCACACAATACTCACAGTATCAGATCGCGGAACGACACTTTTTTGATTTTTGCGGTTTTTATTCTGTTACTGTTCTGTTACTTTATTCTGTTACCTCCACCGTACAGAAGACTACAGTAAAATAAGAATATCTTATGGTGGTGTTGTGTTTCTGCCGGTGAGTAAGGTTCCAGTGCTTCATGGGGTTGGGGATTGGATCAGGGTTTTTTTTTTTGTTGACGGTGGAAAATGGCTGGCTGGACGCGCGGCGTGTGTGGGACTCCCCGGCGCGGAACAACGTCGGTCCTACCCACTAAAAACCACCGGTACCCTCCTACGCCCATATGGGGGCATCTCAGGATCGGCGCACCTTAGTGTGCGCCACTTCACTGGGGGATCAGGGTAGGCAATTTTACGAGTGATATTTTTGTATCGCAAACTTACCATCAGGTGAGCCACAACGCTTATTTGCCACCCTTTTAAATTAAAAATAAAATTAGCTAGACATTACAATTGTCATGCTGGTTCGTTAAATGGCGGGAGGGCACCCTCTGCCTCTGCTTTGCTCGATTAGTTCTCAGATTAGAGTTCGAGATAATAAATTATTGGCCTCACATCTGATGATCGGGCATTGCGAAAGTAGCATTCTGCGCCAACACCTCATTTCAAATCAAATCATCAAGCATCAACCCCGTAACGGACGCGTGCTTTCAACGTAAATTTTTAAACTTGTCGTGAGTCTGTCCTTTTTATTCCTTAAAAAGGATAAGGAGAGACTTGTCAAGTTTACAAATAGCAAATTTGAATAGTGGCTTCACTACGAAACCCCACATTGCGCGTAGAGCACCCCCCACGACAACGGCTAACTATAGCCGAGGGCCGAGTCTCAGAGACGACCTCTAGTTGAGCCGACCACCTCAGGTTCGAGAGGTCTAGAGGCTCCAGACGGAGAGGAGACTCCCCACGGGGGGAGATGCCATCCGCCTGGTATACTTGGCTTGAGGTCCCCTTAGGATTTCGCCGTCCCCAAACCCGGTGACGCTGTAAAGGTCATTTGCAATCAACAGCATACACACTCAAAAAAAAAGCGCGTAGGACACACGCACTTAGCCGGTTTTGGAAGTTCGCTTGAACCTTGACTACTATTGCGAGTTATTACACGCAAGATAGTATGACTAAGCATTTTTTACAATACTATTACACTCTGATTATCATTATGAATACCTTGTAAGTTATTATTTATTAATATTTGCACGCGAAATCAACATTTCAATGTCTGTGTTTTAAAATAAACTTTTTTTAATTATTTATTTAATTGAACAATAAAAAACTTAGGACTTTGAATGTCGACGTAAGTACCCGAAAAAACGGACAAGGTCGAATAGAAATAAAATTAAACTTTGGTTAATTCTTTTTGTTCTATAATAAAAAAAAACCTTTAATTAATTTCTAGTGGACATAAAAATATGGAGTTGCCGACAGTATACCTATTACTTGGTGTGATAACTTGAGTTGTATGACAAAATGAAGAAAAAATATGCGAATTTGTCAGTGGTCATCTTTTGATTTCATATAGATACTCGTAGAACATGATAAGTTTGTACCGCTGTTTAGTGATTCATTTATAAATAGCAAATATAAAACCCACGTTTAGAGCTAGCATAAAATATTTTATTGATTGATGGTCGTTTGTTGCAGACAGTCGTAGCCATTTTGAAGTCCATGATGCGTTGACGAAAGCTGCCGCAAAATGTCGTGCCCATTGGAAGTGACGGGGCAGACCCGAGTGCTGGGTCGGGCGCACCTGTCTCACCTGCCGCAGCGGCCGCCGGTCAACCTGACCTTCCAGGACCTTACCTACACTGTTGTCAACGGGAAAAGTAAGTGAAGACTATTTATAAAAAACGTCCATGATGTGTTAACGGGAGCTGCCAAAAGATATCGTGATATCGTGCCCATTGGAAGTGACGGGGCAGACCCGAGTGCTGGGTCGGGCGCACCTGTTACATCTGCCGCAGCGGCCGCCGGTCAACCTGACCTTCCAGGACCTTACCTACACCGTTGTCAACGGGAAAAGTAAGTGACGACTACTTATAAAAAACGTCCATGATGTGTTGACGGGGGCTGCCAAAAGATATCGTGCCCATTGGAAGAGACGGGGCAGACCCGAGTGCTGGGTCGGGCTCACCTGTCACACCTGCCGCAGCGGCCGCGGGTCAACCTGACATTCCAGGACCTCACCTACACCGTTGTCAACGGGAAAAGTAAGTGAAGACTACTTATAAAAAACGTCCATGATGTGTTGACGGGAGCTGCCTAAAGATATCATGTCCATTGGAAGTGACGGGGCAGACCCCGAGTGCTGGGTCGAGCGGACCAGTCACACCTGCCTCAGCGGCCGCGGGTCAACCTGACATTCCAGGACCTCACCTACACCGTTGTCAACGGGAAAAGTAAGGGAAGACTACTTATAAAAAACGTCCATGTGTTAACGGGGGCTGCCAAAAGATAGCCCATTGGAAGTGACGGGGCAGACCTGAGTGCTGGGTCGGGCGCACCTGTCACACCTGCCGCAGCGGCCGCCGGTCAATCTGACCTTCCAGGACCTTACCTACACTGTTTGTCAACGGAAAAAGTAAGTGACGACTACTTATAAAAAACGTCTATGATGTCTTGACGGGGGCTGCCAAAAGATATCGTGCCCATTGGAAGTGACGGGGCAGACCCGAGTGCTGGGTCGGGCGCACCTGTTACATCTGCCGCAGCGGCCGCCGGTCAATCTGACCTTCCAGGACCTTACCTACACCGTTGTCAACCGGATAAGTAAGTGAAGACGACTACTTATAAAAAACATCCATGATGTCTTGACGTAGGCTGTCCCAAGATGTTCTGCCCATTAGAAGTGACGGAGCAGACCCCGAGTGCTGAGTCGAGCGCACCTGTCACATCTGCCGCAGCGGCCGCCGGTCAATCTGACCTTCCAGGTTCTTACCTACACCGTTTTCAATGGTAAAAGAAGGACAGTACGTAAGACAGGCCGGAAAAGTGAGAAAGAATAGTAAGGGCCATGATGCATTGACGGATAAGGTTAAAAATCTACCTAAAACTGCCTTGTTTCTCTTGCACAGAATGTCTAAATTTATTGTATAAGAATATAGGTATAAACATTGATTAATAACATCCTTTAATTAAAGGAATTCTAAAGTTTACGTCGTTTCACAAAAAAATATATTGGTGGGAATTCAACATAGCAAAATTCATGATTTTATTGATGGCATACCTTATATGTAGAATGGGTAGAAAGCACAAAACAGAACTACCTACATAAAAAGTCTTGTAACTTTGATCGGGCGCATTCTTTTTTTTGTATCTAGTACGCGTAGAATTCAGACATTTGTTCAGCCTTATGGCACAGCACACTTATAATAAACGATTAATATAGCGATAATACTAAACGAAGCTAGTGAACCCGAAGGCATCCCAGTAGTTGTGCTTAAACATTGTGCAGGGGAGTTGTCTCCCGACTACGCGCTTGTATTCTCGTAATCTTTGGGTCGGGTGACGGAGATTCGGAGAGATGCCAATGATGCCAGCTAACTATCGGCCGATAGCAGTCACCACAATGTTGTGCAAAGTCTTAGAAAGGGTCCTTAATAACCATCTGACCTGCTTCCCAGAAGACCACTCTCTGATCCACGAGCGTCAATACGGATTTAGGCCAAACGGGTGATCTTCTAGTTTTGACAGGGTCTGGCACAAAGGTCTTCTCTCCAAGCTTCCTGCATACGGTCTGTCTGTTCAGTTCTGTGCCTGTGACTTTCTGTATGACCGTAGCATTCGCGTCCTTACGGATGGATGTAGCTCGCAGTTCATGTCAGTGAATGCCGGTGTTTATTTATTTTCTAACCACGATTCTTACACAAACAAGTTAGTGACTAATTTTTTGTATATTACTATTAAGTAGTACTATTCGCAAGTGGAATTCTTTACCTGAGCATGTGTTGTCTCCTTCGTACAATCTGGGGTCCTTTAAAAGAGGCGTGAAGTAGAATTTCTGCAGGCCGGCAAGGTGAAGATGGTGTGGCAGTTCATAAATGCTGCACTAGCAATCTTCGCGTCTGGATTTTATCGACACTTAATATCAAAAACTCACTTGCGTTTTGCTTCGTTATTATATGTATGTTGTTCAATTATATTTTTATACGCAGCATAATAAATTACCCCACCAGATGTTAAGTGTAAGTGGAGTCAAGGCGCGAACTCCAAGCAATCTCCTAAATGTTGGAGTTAAACTAAAACCGTACATATTTTGGATTCTATATGTTAATAGATATGATTATGCTGTTTTTTCCTTTTTAGTTAACGTGCTCAGAGCAGTAAGGGCCCTCATAACCAAATGTTGCTTTTATGACTGCCATTCATAAGGTATATTATGTGTTCCCACGACTAGCATGATTGTGATGGTAATGGACAGACAAGTACAAAGCAAGCTATTTCAACAAGTACAAAGAGGTGTACAGTGCCAAATGTATATTTCAAGAATAACTTAAACCTAGCCTATGGATATGCAAACATTTAATGTCCTAGCCAGTTTTTCCATTTCGTACTTCTACACTTCCGGAGACATCTACCGGCACACCTTGCATTTTAAGTTTTGACGGTCTCTAGCTAAAATAATTGTTACATTGAGCTAAAAGTTATTACCTACGCAGTTTTGAAGCCGATTGATTTATTAACCACCTTTTCGTGTGTTTTTAAAATTATTGCTCATCCATAAACATACATATATTTATTACTTTTGCTAAAGACCGTTGAAACTCATAACTTTAAGTCGGCCGATAGATGTGTCCGGAAGTATCTTTATTAATCCAAACTTTATTAATAAACGTGAAAGTAATTGTGTCCGTCTGTACGTATAAACCGCTGAATCAGTTATGATTAATTTTATATAGAAGGATCTAAGAGAAGGACATTGACGTAGCACAAAATGTATACCGTACCGCCGGGCCCATGGTCTTAGTCAATTACACGCTTAAGCAATTATTGTAATTAAACTACTGATACAGGTAGTCCGAGGTCAATTTGTAAGTCAACAACACTTAAATTTTTAGCAAGTCATCATGTTTTTAAAGTTTGATTTAAGTTGAACCTAACATCTATCTTTAGGGTTGCCAGATGGTCGGGAATCCGATCTATCACGAGAAGTGGGTTTGTGCGCAGTACTTCATTCACTCTTATAAGAGTCGTTTGGCAAGGAGTCTTAACATAGGGGTTGGGTTACAATTCTCTGGACTACAACCCTAAAATCCAGACATTTTCAAATTTTATCCAGATTTTTCGACTTCTCGATCTGGCAACCCTAATTTTTGGACATTCAATATTTTGTTGGTTCTTCCAAGTTGTTCTTAGTTGTTCCTATCATTGGTATAAAGTTTTAATTTCAAAAACTAAAATAAATTTGGAGCTGTCATACAAAAACAAAACGTTTTTCTGATAGCCCCTCATTTTTTTGGAAATTTCATATTTTGTTAGTTGTTCCAAATTGTTCTAGTTGCTCCTATCATTGTTCCAGAGTTTTATTTTAAAAAACAAAAAGTTGAAGCCACTATGTAGATTTTTTTTCTGTAGCCCCCTATTTTTTGAAATTCTATATATTGTACTAAAGTGTACTAAACAAAATTTTAACATTTAGCCAAGCCAATTCTTCAATGAGGCCATTATCAATTACAGAGGAAGAACGGGCCATAAGTTGTCGTAGGCGAAAGTACTCGAGTTTTTTAAGCCTTTGTAGTTAAGACTATCTTTGCATCTAAACCAGGGATGCACAAACTTATTAAGACTAGGGGCTAACTGATGGCGGGCCGACAGAAGTATAAGTTATTAAAGACAATAAAGAATTGATAATAATTTATTAAAATTGAAAAATAATTTATTAATTTGAAGAGTGGCACTGCATAGTGCTTACAATCTTTTTTATATTTGGCTCAAATTTACTTGTAGCAACACGTAAAACTGCTTCCAAACTTTCATTTGCAAGGCGGTTTCGATTTTTTGTTTTATTATTATTTAGTATTGAAAAAGTTTGTTTACATATATAGGTAGAACCAAATAAGCTGGCACATTTCAGAGCGTTTATGCGCAACTCTTTGTACATATTTTTATCAATGCAGCGGTAAAAATTCAGCAATTCTCCTTCGTTGAATTTGTTGCGTAAATCCTGGTCGTTTTGAATGTCGATAATTTCTAACTGCATTGACTCTGGCGCATTTTCAACTGAAATCGTGAAAGGATTGCTGAATATGTCCTACAGAGGTTTCACTTATTTAAACTCCGAAAATCTGTCTTGAAAAGATTGAATCAACATATATAGCTTTTCTACATAACTGAAATTAATCGCAGTTTGGAACACCTCAGTGTTCGGCGCTACAGAAATCGAAAGCAAATAATTGTTTGAATAAAGACTGGCTGGTACTACGGCCCATCGTTACCAGCCTTTATAACGTCCCACTGCTGGGACAGGCCTTTTTACATGGATAAACACATGAGGAGTATGGGCCATAACACTACCACGCTGGCCCAATGCGGATTGTTGGGTAGAAACAGTTGCAATTGCAACCGGGAGCAACGGCTTAACGTGCCTGCCGGAGCACGGAGGAAACTCGACATTGAGATCTCATTTGGTCACCCATCCAAGAACCGACCATGGAGACAGTTGCTTTGTTTTTAATTTCGAAACCAAATCGTACGAAACCACTCCTCACGACGTATATAGACTGGTAACGAAAATATTAAGGCGCCTATTATTTTCTCATAGGGGGTGATGAAAAGTAGAGTGTATCACTTGGGAGTAAATATATTTTTGCCTCGGGCGATATACTTT